GAGGCTTTGTGGTCCTCCTAATTTAGTTTCACTTATTGTACTTTAGACTAAAAAATTATGTACTATCACAGAATCATATATTTCAATTTCAAGTTATGAATTGTACATTTATTTGGGCTATTTTGGAGCTTTTGAATGCTTCCTTCTTTTATCCTAGTAAAGTTTTGAGCTTCCTTTGTTGCAAAGCATTAATAAGTTTCTGAATCTGCTATTATAGGCATTCACACCTGAAGTATGTTACAGCAACACATTCCCTTGTGCATATTGTGAGCTCAGTATGTTACAATACATGTCATTGTACCTCAGTAATTATTACTCGTTAGTTTCACTATCTATTGTAACACAAGATCTTGTTGTATTTGCAAATTAGACATCATTTGATGATTCATTATGGTTGGTTGTTGACCGCCTTGGTGATGATTTTCAAATTTTATTCCCTGGTAGGAAAATTTTTCCCGTTTATGTTATGCTTGTTCCTGTTTGTTGATAGACTCGCAAAATTATTGGTTCTTGTTCAGATGCCTTTGATCCCTTCTTCCCTACAGGTAGTTTGAGCCAAGTCCTGAAGATGATGGACAACCCCTTCATGTCAACAGGCTGTGGAAAGGGAGTTGGGGCCGAAATAAGTAGGGGATGGGATTTGCCAAGTAGACATGCCTGGACTTGACAAGGATGATCAAGTTAAAGTCTCTGTGGAGCAGAACACCATGGTTATCAAAGGGAAAGGTGAAAAAGAGTTTGAGAATGAAGAATATGTAAGAAGATACTCGAGCATCTGCATAAACCCGATGGGATAAAGTCTGAGATGAAGAATGGGATGTTGAAGGTTGTGGAAGAAGAGAGGAAAGATGTGATTAAAGCTAATATCAATTGATGATGTGTTGTCTGAATAAAAGGTTCTGAGCATTTTTATTTAATCCTTGTTTCTCTGTAATAATCTCTGAATAAAGGGTTTGTAAATCTTGTTCTGTTTTCTTCACTGTTCCTTGAAGCTTAGCCATCTCATGTCTTATCGAGATGTTTTAATTTATTTAAGTCGACAAAATGACTATAACGATGAAGTTTAAATAATTAGCCACTTTCAATCAACAAAGCAGAAATAAAAATGCACAAATCAACAAGAAGAACAAGTAAAGAACACGAGATTTTTCACCCTAAGGCAAAAGGTTCAGAAACGGAATTCCTAATCCCCTTTTGAGCTTCTGCCAACCCGAAGAATCACTATATTAATCGAAATCAAGAAATTGTTCAGAATACACCAGACACTCAGACGAAATCATCCAAATTACATCAAAAAAAGAAAAAGTCCTCAAACTGATCGAAACAACAATCCACTTAAGGATACAACAATAGCCATTTCCAAATCACTCAAGATCTATACAAGAGACTATATAGCTTATAGATTTAAAATGAGAGAATGAACAACCATACTCAAAACTCAAACCCTAGTATATGAGAAGTCTCCATAAGGTCAGCCAATCCAATGGTTCGTAGGGCGACATTTCATCCATCCAACCATTTAGTAAAAACGCATAAAGGTAAAACACGCTTATAACCGGATGAAAACAGAAGTCACCAAGCAATCAAATAATAACAGTTCAGCCTAACAAGAATTATCCAACAACCAAGCCATCAGACCGACCCAACTTAATAATACAATCAAGTTCCAACAGCACCATCAGTGTAATGTTTCTCCACAATCTCCACCTTGGTACAATGACCCCAGTTTCATCTATAGCGATTTCTCCATCATGACATCATTTG